TTGCAGAGAGAAGGGGTTGCTGAGAGTCCGCATCTATGGATTACATAGAGAACGCGATATGGCCATGGGGTTAGAGAGAGTTTTTGCGTTGAAGCTGCCGGGTTCAGAGAGTGTGTGCTGAAGAGTGAAGAAAGTGGGTTTTGTTAAAAACCCAAACGACGCAGTTTTTCTTTTTTTCAATTGTTATTTTATTTTTTTATTTGGTATTTATAAATGAAGAGAGACATAAATGATTGACACGTGTAGTATTAATTAGGCACGGAAAAGCCTTTGTCCCTACACATCTATTTTCCGTCCCAAAATCCAATTTCACCAAAAAAAATTTCCCCCTAAAATTGTTGGCGCGTTTTTTTTGTTTCCTTGAAATAGGAGAAGCTGTTGGCGCGCATTTTTTTGGGTTACTTGGGACGGCAAGTCTATTCCGTCCTTAAAACCTTCCTTTTTGAGACAGAATTTAATCCGTCCCAAATTACCTGTCCCAAATGAACTTATTTCTTGTAGTGCTCACTAACCACTTTTGTCCTTTTTTCCAAAAATATTTCCCAAAATATCTCGGATTTGTCTTTGCCAAAAAGCTCAACCAGTTGGATCGATCCAGCCTAAGTTCGATAGATCTCAGCCAGTTCGATCGATCCAAGTCCAAGGTTCGATTGATCGAACTTCCTCTAGTGCGAAAAAGTTAAATTTCCAGCTTGTGCAATCCGTCCTCTATCCAATCATTAGAGAATATTCTTTGCACGACCCCAGCTCATTTTATGTGTTACTTGACCTACCTATAAAAGGAATATGATGCACTTTTTGAGAGAGAGACAATTCTAGGGTTTATTCTCTTGGAGAGCGCTTAGAGGAGCGCTTAGAGGAGGAGGAGGCTAGAGACACCGTTGGAGTTCTTCATCAACAAGGAGTAGATTTCTTCCATGGAGTTAGCCCTTGAGGGTTGGAGCAACATCACCATGAGTGGCTAGACATCCTCTTGGAGCTAGAGTTAGCCCCAAGCATGCTTTCTATATTTTAATCTTGTGTATTATTGATAGATTAGTGTTGTAATTGATGTTTTGACATTTTGATATATATAGATCTTATTTATTCAATGATTTATGTAGTTTAATGTTTCCAATTGATCATTTCATTATATCCATATGTCTATGTATGCTAGGATAGATGTTCATGTGCTTATCTCTAGATTTTGTATTATTGATGCATGTCTATGTGTATTGATGCTATAGATTTAGAGATTGTCAAAATATAGTGCTTAAAAGAATGCTCTTGTGATTTTCTTGATGGTTCATACTTATTCCTTGATGGATTGTGCCTCTCTCCTAGTTTATTTTCATGCTAGTAGTGTAGATGTAGTGTAGTTGTAGTGTAGTGTTAAATGGGAGGACAATCTATGGTTGTTGTTTGATGATCCAAGCTTTTGAATACAAGAAGCATATGTCTCTAACCTTGTGTTGTATTTGGATTGTGAGCTTAATGAAAGAATTAATGACTTGTTTTGATCTATTGTGCCTTTCACATGTTGTTTAGACAATATATGCTTCATTGCTTAGATATATTATGCCTTTCACATGATGTTTAGACAATACATGCTTAACTAGTCATTCTTGCTTGTTGAATCAACCAAACACACACACACACCAATATTGCAACACACCATTTGCCCTCATTAGTCACTTGTCAATGGTATAGAAATGTATTGCTTGGTGGTGATCTCTAAACCCCAAGATCTCTCTCTCTCTTACTTACTCTTAATTACATTCTTTTGTTATCACTTAGTTTAATTTAGTTGCTCTCTAATCAACCAACCAACCAATTGTTTAATCACTCGACCTACTAACCCTAATAACGATTCCACGACCTTGTTCGATCGTCACAATCCCTTGGGACGATCCCTACTCTCCCTATCTATATTTATAGTGAAAGGTAGTAGTGGCTTATATAAATGTAAAACTCTTGGCCCTCGCCTTATAATGCACACTCTTAAACTTAGTGGTAGTGCGGCCTATTGATAACCGTGTCAGTTTTTGGCACCGTTGCTGGGATTGATTGATTTAATTTGGCAACGTCGGATTTGTGGAATCAATTAGGATTAGTACTCTTTTGATCGTGTCTTTACTTTATTTTTATTTTTCTTTTTGGTTACTTATTGTGTTGTTCTTACTTGACTAGGTGCATTGTTGGAGATGAAGCAAGCAAAGGAGCATTCAAGCTAAGCAAGCAAGGAAAAAAGTTAAAAATTCTAAAAATTTGCTAAGCTAAGCTTTAAATTTGGAGTTGAAGTGCTAAAGGACCTTTGTGAGCTCTTTCTTTACTCAATCCCTTAGTTAAATCGTCGGTCCACGTGGATGCTTGTTTTTATTTGTTCTTTGCATCATTGTTGTTAAAGCATGGGAGTATGAATTAAGTGTTTATGGAAGAAGTCTAATTGCATTGTTGTGAAGGCATAGTGTTTGTCATTCTTTGTGCTTGTTGTGTTTTGCATTGTGCATACATGGACTTCGTTCATTGAGACCCACTCTTGTCCCTCTTAATTTGCATCTTGAATCCGTAATTAGAAATCCTAGGGGAAGAGGAAGTTCAAATGGAACCAATCTATCAATAGATGACCATAATGATGATCATGTTGAGGACCTTGGTCACATAGACCAACAAGGTATCCTTCATCCTAATGTGCACAATGAGAACATACAAGTACCATTAGGCATGCCTAAGCCATACATTCACCAACCACCACAACAACAAGGCCAAGCTCCATATGGAATGCCAAGGCCAATGTATGCACCATAACCTCCCATCATCAATCAAGGAATTCAAAACCAAGGTGTTCATGTTGCACCTCAAGTAGCTAATCCACCTCTTACTTTAAGAGACCATTATATCCCTAATGAGTATAATACACCTACATGCATCCAATTGCCTCCATTTAGCGCACATCATTATGAAATTAAGCCACAAACCATTCAAATGCTTCCTAACTATCATGAACTTCCAAGTGAAGAACCTTACAAGCATTTGGATGAGTTTCTTGAAATATGTTCCACCGTAAAATATACGGACATGCCGGAATAGGTTTTAAGACTCAAACTTTTTCCATTCACCTTAAAAAACAAGGCAAAGTATTGGTTTAACAATCTTAGGCCTTTTTCAATCACTTCTTGGGCAGAAATGCAACAAGAGTTCTTGAAGAAATACTATCCGGTTTTTAAGACCAATACCATGAGAACCTCAATTCGAGAATTTTCACATGGGGATGAAGAAACGTTTCATGAGGCATGGGAACGCTTCAATGAGTTACTTAGGAAGTGTCCACATCATGGCATGCCCAAATGGCAATTAGGTCAATACTTCTTTTAGAGCTTATTGGACAACTATAAGGGTATGGTTGATGCTTCCATGGGTGGCTCATACATTGATAGGCATGAGGATGACGTGTGGCGTCTTTATGAGAGTATGAGTGAAAATTCTTTGCATAGAATACTATCATCCAAGAATGGTAGAAATTCACAAGGTAGGAAGAGTGTTGGCTTACATCAAGTCGACCATTCAAATGAAATAGTCGCCGAAATGAAGTCCTTATCTCAAAGGTTTGATCAATTTTTGATTAACCAAAACTCGGCGAACCAAGTATCTTCCTTCCCTGACCATTCTCATTGTGTATCAAATGAAACATGCATGACTTGTTCTAGTGTTCTTCATTCTACTTCTCATTGTCCTCACAGACAAGTGCAAAATGAACCTAATGAACAAGTCAATGCAGCTTTTGTGAACCAAGGGAACAATCCTTATGGTACTCATTATAATCCAAGTTGGAGGAATCATTCGAATTTCTCTTGGAAAAACCAAGGAGAGTGCTCAAATCCTTCCTAATGTGGTTTTCAAGGAAGTACATTTCACCTCCACTTTAAAACCAAGGATCCCAAGGTTGTAGACCTTATCAATCACAAGGGAATCAATTTGCTAATTCTCATTTTCCCAACCAATCTTATTCTCAAGGTAATACTAGAAGTCCCGGCTTTGAAGAAAAAGTTTTGAATGCTTTGGGCACTTTAGAGGCTAACACACAATTGTTCCATTCTCAATCTCAATCTATTACGAAGCTAGAAACCCAAGTAGGGCAAATAACAAGCACTCTCAATGCAAGAGAGAAGGGAAAGATGTCTATTAACGCCCCACCTAAGCAACAATGTGTTGTAGAAACTCATTCCTCATCGAAAGGCCACACCATTGAACATGTTAATGCGGTGACTACCTTGCGGAGTGGTAGGATTGTGGACAATCGAGTTGAAATGTCCAATGAAGAGAGTGAACAGGTGCAACCTCAAGTTGTCACCCGTCCCGTTTCACATTTCATTCATCCTTCATTGCATGTACATAATCTTGTGAATGAGAAAGTCTTGAAAAATGTGTTTGAAAAAGAAGTTTTGAAAAATGATGTTGAAAAAGTTTTGTTGAAAAATGATTTGAAACAAAGTGATTTAAAAACTTCTTGTATTGAAGAGAGTTCAAAAGAAAATTCTGAAAAAGTGTTTGAACCAAAAGTTCTATTTTTGGATGCCTTAAAAGGATTCATTTCAAAAGACAAGCAAAAGGCAAAAACCAATGAAATTATGGAAATGTTTAGGCAAGTGAAAGTTAATCTTCCACTATTGGATGCAATTAAGCAAATTCTGGCTTATGCAAATTCTTGAAAGACTTGTGCACCCAAAAGCGGAAGAACAAGAGCCAAGCACCAAAAAAAGTGGTTTTGACCGAGCAAGTAAGCTCAATTTGATATCATTCATTTGATACAAACTATGGAGCTTTCCCATAGGGACTTGGCATTTGCATGATTCTGGAGACAATGATTTATTCCTTTGTTTATGCTGAATTCAATGACCCATTGTGCAACATTTATCCTAAATCTGTGGCCTATTCTAAATTATGCCCCAAAAAGTTTAAGGAATTTGCCTTTCATATTTCTATTGAAATGTGTCACAGACTGAACTATTTATCAAGTTTGAGAATGATAATATTGCATGCTGATAGTAGACTTATATTTCTCTTATTCAGCACAGGCATTATCACTGCTTGCAATTCAAATGTTCGAGCTCACTAGAGTATTGTGGCTACTAAGGTGCATTGCAAAGCCAGGATATAAGTTTGTTAACTTGTTCCAAGCTGAGAAGCTATCAAAAGATAGGAACTGGTTGACGGCATCAGCACTGGGCTTTGGGTTTCTTATCTTGTTAGTTTTCATTACTTCACTCCTTGCTGACCAATTGATAGGGCCCAAGGTTGGTTTAATGAACTATATATTCTTTTCCTTGATGCTTTCTTATTTACAGTATTTTATTAAATTACAAAATGGAGTTGCATGCTCCTCATGTTTACTAAGTTTCTTACAAGATTGTGGACAGAGTGTTTAGAGAATGTATATATGTATGCATAAGTTCATCTTCATATATGACCAGTAAAGGCGAAAAAATTCCAAACCCTATCCTGATTCCCAGTAGTTTCATATTGTTGGAGGGAGTAGCTTGATTTTTAATGTCAATGACACAACCATGAGAGAGAGCATTAAAATTTCAATTTCTAATGCAAGGAAAGTGATGAACCAGAGAGTGAATATTTCATTGGCAGAATAACATTTATAACGGTACACGCCACTCATTGTTGTTTCCTCAATTCCTCCTTGTATATTTTAGGATCAACTGTAATGTAATATAGGACTAAAGTTCCCCCTTTCTCTCTATTGGTTGGACAATTTAATATCTGTCACAGTACATAACAGAATTTTAGTTTTGCACCCAGAACTTCAACTGGAACTGTATCAATAAGATGAACCTCGTTATTAAGCATACCAATTTTTCAATTAAATCTTTATGTTACAATTGTTAAACCACTCTTTCCTGGGGGAACAAACAAGGACATTGCTTGGAAACTTGGAAGGAATGGGGGGCTGGGGAGTGAGGAGTAACCGTCTTTTGTGAACTATTATAAATATGAAGTGGCATGCTGGCCTACTTTACATAGCTAATTCTTCTCGATAGTTCTCCAATGAAAATTTGTCATCATGATAAAATTTTATAAATCCCAATCCCAATAATAGATCATTTTATTGCATGGTGGTTTGTATTAATGAGTTTTAACCACTTAATGTATATACTTTACTATTTCAAACCTTTTGAGATGTTTGACCTTACACAGTTGTTGGCCTTAATATCTTAATTTTATTAAGATAGTAGAATTTTTGTTATATCTTACCATACCAAGTCAATGTTACAAATTGATCTTTCCCCTTTTTACTGATGTGGTGCATTACTAATGCGGGGTGATAAATGATTTCTATATGAACTGAGGAACAGCATATTATATAGAAGAATTATTTTGATGGGGATGTTGATATGGTAATTTAAAGTTTTGGGAGTTTTCATGGCATTTTGATTTTGATTTAAATGTCAAAGTGAAAGCCACCTTGGACCAAGTTATTTCTTTTACCCTCTTTCTTTCTCATATACTAATCTCATTTTGCTAATCACTTAAAAAAAACTCACATTTCTAAATTTTGACTATAAATCCTTACTTGAGGTTGTGTTCCACCCACTAAAAGTATAGAGCAGAAACAGAGCAATTGTGTTTTGAGAAGTGAAAATGGTTGTCTTCCAAAAATTTTATCCAAGAGGGCTTGGAAGAATAATTTTGTACTATAATGCAACAAAAAGAACAACAAAGCCTTTTTCCCAACTACTTGGGTCGACTAATAGTTGTGACAAATGTTTTAAGCTGGCTATCAGGCTACTTAATGCAAGAATCCACTTTTTTCCAGCCTTGGTAGCTACGATAAAGGTAAGGCACTAAACATAACAAAATCGGTGTTTCTAATTTTCTATAATGATGCTTCAAAATTTTTTCGAACGTTTTATATGAATGATAGTTTGAAAAGATTTTTAACTGAGCTTCAGGAGTTTAAATCTATATCTGTTTGGACTGAGGAACCTAATGGTGATAGGAATGACTAGGTAGTTTGGGTTACTTCACCTGATGGTGAATTACATGTGGGCGGAAATTGAAATTTCTTCCAAATCCTCTTCCTTCAGTCCCTTGCGCCCATTTTCTTTGGTTCTTTACTATTTCAAACCTTTTGAGCATGTTTAACCTTACTTAATATGTGAAATTTTTAAGAAAGTAGAATTTTGTTATGTCTTACTATACCAAGTCAATGATGCATATTGATCTTTCTCCTTTCTACTGATGTGGTGTATTACTAATGCGGGACTGATAAACGATTTGTACTGAGGAACTGCATATTATATTTTTCTATATTGATTGAAGAATTTATTTGATGGGGATGTTGGTATGGTTCTTTTAAGTTTTATGATTTTTCATGGCATCTTGATTTTGATTTAAATGTAAAAGAGAAAGCCACCTTGGACCAAGTTAATTCTTTTACCGTCTTTCTCATATACTAATCTTATTTTGCCAATCACTTAAAAAACTCGCATTTCTAAATTTTGACTATAAATCCTTATTTGAGGTTGTGTTCCACCCGCTAAAAGTATAAAGCAGAAACAGAGCAATTATGCTTGAGAAGTTGAAATGGTTGTCTTCCAAAAATTTATCCAAGAGGGCTAGGAAGAATAATTTTGTATAATGCAACAGCAACAAAGCCTTTTTCCCAACTGCTTGGGGTCGACTAATGGTTGTGACAAATGTTTTAAGCTGGCTGTCAGGCTACTTAATGCAAGCATCCTCTTTTTTTCTCAGGCTTGGGAGCGGCTATATAAAGATAAGGCACTAAACATTAAAAAAATCGGGGTTTCTAATTTTCTATAATGATGCTTTGAAAACTTTCGAACATTTTATATGAATGATAGTTGGAAAAGATTTTAAACTTAGCTTCTGGAGTTTAAATCTATATCCGTTTGGACTGAGGAACCTAATGGTGATAGGAGTGACTAGGTAGTTTGGGTTACTTCGCCTGGTGGTGAATTACATGAGGGCTGAAATTGAAATTTCTTCCAAATCCTCTTCTTTCAGTGCCTTGCGCCTATTTTCTTTGGTTCAGTCATCACATTGCTTGCCACTCTTTTTATTCTGGTTGAACATCAAGAACCATTTATCTGCACCAGATAGGCTTGTCCCTTGAGCCCATTTTCCAAGGGGTTTGTGTTTTCTGAAGGCTTCAAGTTGGATCATATGATGATTCTTTTCTAAAAGTTGTGTTCTGAAAAATCATGGGTCATATTGCTAGGGAATTGTTGCTTGGCCTGGATGATTGGTACTTGGGATCAGTTTGGTGCCTAGAGTGGCTATAGCTGTTTTAGTGGAAGTTTTGCATGGTTTATGGAGGAGGTCCAGAAAGACCAGTTAGTATGAAATTTTTTGATATTTGGGCCATCTCCGTTGTCTGGAAGACTCTGTTCTGTTTGCGGCCTGTTATAGATATTGTTTTTTGTTTGGTTAGTCCGTGCTCTTGGTATGGAGTTTCTTGGTTCTTCTACAGTAGTTTTAAATCAGAAGAGGTACGCTTCCTCAGGTTAACTCTCCTCTGGTCCGGTGTGAAGGATATACCTTTTCCTGTCACCCAGCTAAAAGAACAGCCAAAGTATGACTCTTCAGTTTATGAGTTGGATCCTCCATTCAATCATAAGACCAGCAGTTTCTTTCCCGTGGACTCACCACATAAAACAGAGGGGAACATTTCCATTTCTTCTTCTTCCTCTTGCCATTTCTTCTATTTCCCTAATTACGAAGCAACTTTGCCACTGCTTAGGAAACATCAAATATCTCCCTAACCACTCTACAACGAATAAGGAGATGATTTTACAATGAATAAGGCGCTTCACTGAATGATGACTCATCAATTAGCTAAAGCATACTGAGTCTCAACTTTCCTTATTGTTTATTTTTCATTTTTTCTTCCTCATTTCAGATGACTTGTGCTCTTCAAGATTTATAGATCAAAGGAGACCAATTATGACAGCCTCGAATTTTTAAGCAGCTATGCAGTTTTTTTCTTATCAACTGATCTTTTTCTCGTAACACATGGCTGCAGGATGTGAACAACCCCATAATGAAGGAAATCCTTTCAAGTGGTTTCGTTTCTCAAACTGCCTGCATCCTTGTTTATTGCATCGTCACTCCCCTGTTGGAATAAATTGTTTACAGAGGGTTCCTTTTAGCATCTCTTACGTCCGGAATGAAATGGCAACAAGCAGTTGTCATAAGCTCAGCCATTTTCAGTGCGGCTCATTTCTCTGGTGAGAATTTCTTACAGTTATTCATAATTGGGACTGTCCTTGGAACCTCCTATTGTTGGACAGGAAACTTAAGTTCTTCATATCTTATTCATTCGTCGTACAATGCCCTCACACTTGTAATCACATACTCATCTTAATGTTTAATATCAACCAATTTTGATGTTCTGAAATTAGGTTATCCCTTGGACAAATGTGATTAACTTATGACTTTTGATCTTACCTCATAAATTGAGGTTATCAATAAGATTCTTCAATTTCAGGACTGATGAGTTTATAGCATTATAAATGTAAATAAAACCCAGTTTTCATTACATCTTAATGCTCACGAGTCTCATAAACGATGCAACTTGGCCAAAACTCCCGATTATTCAAGACTCTGGGATATATGCCAAATTAAGACTCGAACCTTATAATCCTCTCCTTTCCGCGCCTTTTATACACCTTCAAAGGCATGAACATTTACTATGTATGGAAACATATGATGATCTTTTATACATTTGCTCTACGTTTTAGATTATTTATTTATTTAGGTTAATAACAGACACCAACACAATGTCCTATGACCTTAGGGAGCTAAGCTTTATGTTTTATGTTTTATGCTTTAATGTCCTTAGACTGCATCAAATTGCCGTTACAACTAATTGGTCATTCCAGTGATAACAAACAGAGCATTGAAATGAGGGTTTAGGGCTCTTAGGCTTGGTGATCCGGTGATCGCCGCGGTGGTCGGAGGCACAGAAGAGGCAAGTCCCAGTCTTGTATGATCCTTCTGGATTGAGAATTGTCCAACCGCACTAACGTTGGAGTTGGTCTTGACTATGATTTTCGTCATGAGATCATGGAAGGTTGACTTACTTTTATGGTAATTGGCCCAAACCTTAGAATGTGAGAATAATTATGCTCAAAAATAAATCCATTTATTTTGCTAAGTATTTAATATAATAAGGGCAAATTATATGGGAAAAAAATTTGTTGTAAATTTCATGATCCAAAACATGACATGAAGTTTTTCTACAATTTTAATTGAAAAGGAACAACACTAGCTAAATCTGTGTACAATTTTTTTTCACGAAAAAAAAAAAAAAAAAAAAAAATGCCTATCATAAAACTATATAGCATAGAAACTAATCAGATATGAGAGAGAGAGAGAGAGAGAGAGACAAGCTAGAAATGCCTACAGGGATAAAGATGCTCGCCAAAATAAACCTACATGAAAAGCAAGTTAAAACATCATCAACAAGAAGAAAAAGCCTATTCCCAATTATTTGGGGTTGGCTAAATGAATCAAATATTTTCATGTCACTCTGTCTAAAATCTCATTACGTAAATTCTATTTTCTTGTATTCATGTTCGTATTGGTCATGATAAAATTTTACGTTGGTTGTCAAGCTTTTTAAAGCAACCCTCCTCCTTTAACCGATTTTGGAATTGGCTGTGTATTCATATGATTCATGCTTCTAGCAAAGTTTTATGTTAGTTGTCAAGAAAACATCATGCCAAACGCAAGCCTCCTCCTTAATTCAAACTTGGAACCGATTGTGCAAAAAAATATTAACAAATCAAAAGTTCCTGTAGTGTAGAATGCACATTTCAGTGTAACCTTACTATTATCCTTATTTCAATCAAAAATTTTATCTTTACCATTCTCAATGATTTTTTTTTGAAATTTTTATCTTTACCATTCTCAATAATTTTTTTTTTGAAAAGTATTTCAATATGATTATCCTATGATGGGACTAGTTGGTTGACAAATTGTCAATTCACTCTTTTGCTAATGAGAGACCACAAACTTCACGTGCACAATAATCATATTACTACTGTTCCTAAGAAATGTTTCAATTTAACGTGAGGACAGGACACACATCTTTTGACTTTCTGAGGATAATTAGAGACTTTGTCCCCAAGTTCGACCACATATTTCCCCTCGCATGAAATCCCGGCTCCGTCCACTAAGTTACTGCTTACTGAACCAATCACAAGTCTGCACATCAAGAATCCAATCACGTACTTACACCTCATCCCACAATATCACCCCCACCAATTATATTAGTATCCTAGATCGCGGTATAACGAATTCAAACAAATATCAGTGTAAATTGAGCGAACTAACCAATTAATGAAAACGTATAACAATATCTAACCTTTAAAAAAGAGTTAATAGAATAATAATAAATAGTTCAAGAGTAGATGTATCCTATTAATTTATGTTAGTAGGTGATGACATTATTGTGACGTCATTAAATATGATTATATCGTCATTCTCTGTCTACATAAATCTAGTCAAATGCATTCTACTATTGAACTCACTATTATTACTCTTCTTAATATGTAATGTTGAAGAATTATGACCTCCACCATTGTTGTAACTATTTCTACCACCATGTCTACAACTATGACACATTCGCTTCAGGGAATGCCACCGATCTGGTCAGATGAGATTGGTAATTTTACATTAAAAACTCATTATTTTGTTCAATCATTAATAGACATAATAAATATTCTGCATATCGTTACTATTTTAGTATTTTTTTTTTCAACATATAATCATTAATAATTTTTCTTCACATAACTTTAATAATGAGTTAATTTTAAACAAGATTGAATTATAATTTCAAAATCCTGCAATCACAGATGCATTCAATCCCATCAAACTTTTGAAAGAATTATAGTTTTTCAATACTTATATTGTTTCTTTTCAGAAAAAAAAAAAAAAATACCCATATGTTCCTTCAGAAAAAAAAATTACAGTGCCAGTGGGTCCTTAGCTATAGGTACCTTATAGTTAAAACGAGGATGAAGGAAAAAAATTTACTTAACGGACAATTAGAATCATATAAATAAAATGATATATATTTCAACATGATGTAATAAATAACTTAATTATAAAATTTATAATGAAAGCAAAATTGGTATACCAGTAAGGCGAACGCTGAAAGGAAGTAAAAAATACATCATGTATAGAAAATGGTTAGAATAGAAGTATAAACATTTCTCCGAATGAAAACCATGAAAAATGTTAAATACTTTATTTAATCTCAATAATAATAATAAAAGTACCATAGATAAAAAGGAAGTATATTGTTTTGTTACTTGAAATGATTAATAGAAACCTTTAAATAGCTCAAACATAATTTATTATTATTTTTTTAATGCTTGCCAAAATTTCAGGCTCCCAAAGAATAACTAGTGAAAATGACTTCAAGTCTTTAACTTTGTGATACTTCATGATCACAAAAAATATTGATTTTTTGCGAAATCTTATGTTTGCGAAATTTCAGGTTCTCGAAAAGTATCAAGTTAAAAATAAAAATAAAAAATAAAAAATAAAAACAAACTTAGCCTTTGCAAAACTTAGGTTCTTGAGGAATTTCTAGTGTAAATAACTCGATCTTTTAGAAAAGCAATTATAAAGTAGGCACAAAATTAACATCTACTATTTTACTTAACATTATAAAATATTTATATAATTAATTTAATTAGCTTTTGATGTGAAAAAAAAAAAAAAAAGGGTTTCTTCCCAAGAAGAGTATTTAATAAAAAGTATAAAATATTTATATAAGAGAGACCACGAGAAACATAATACGGGGAGAGAGAAAGATACTACAGCAACTAATACAAATTACAATACACTATACACACGCGCGCGACACCCATCACCGCTTACCAAACCAGTCTGCGTTTCAAAAAACCAATCAAGTATTTACTTGAATTTTACCTTCCCAAAAAAAAAAAAAAAAAAACAATCAAGTGGTTTTGACGGTTGCACCTCGCTCCCAAATTCTATTTCAGCGGCACACAACTTTCACACATTGATGGGACTATCAAATTCTATTTCGTCGCACAGCATTCATACAAATTTATTTTTTTCCCAATCGTAAAACATACACACCTTTTTGTCTATGTTTGGAGTCCAAGGGTCTGAGTCCAAGCATAGACAAAAAGGTGTGTGTTTATTTTACCATTCAAAAATAAATAAATAAATAAGAGTAATATTTTACAAAAATCCCTCTCATGAAAACCATGAGCTCTCTTATTTAGATCAATCTTGATGGCCAAAAATAAGTCTGTAACCCCTCCTACTCCAGAATGAAAGATCGATGTATTTCACTGGACCGAAAACCAGCATTAAAAAAACTGTTTCGTTCAATAATTAAATAAGAAGAGTTCATGATTTTTCTCCTCATGAGAGGGACTTCTTAATAATATTACTCAATAAATAAACAACTTCCAAGAGGTCTTATATTAAAATCCTCGTGGGTCAAAACCTTGCCTTACAATCGTGATTTATGGGATCATTGAGGGTATATATCTGAAGGGCATAGCCGCACCCTACCTTGACAAAAATAAAACAGGCATATAGTCGTACGCATATACCATACTATTTCATGTGCGGCAAGCATTCATGGCGCATTCTAACTCTGTTGGCAGGGATGATGATGTTGAATTGGATAAGCGTAATGCTTTGCTTTACAATGCTCTAATGAATCTAGATGTCGTCTACTGTCGAAAACGTGAACAATATCCAGACGGTCCATTGCACGTTCTAACCGATCACCGCGACACAGTGCTTCATATGGCGGCACACACCGCGAAGGCGGACTTAGTAATTCAACTACTAGAGATGTTGGGTGAGAATGAATACTGCAAACTTACCCACCAAAATGCAGTTGGAAACACAATCCTACATGAGGGCGGTGGCTTTCGACCAATTAGTCCCAGCAGCCAAGAGGATGCTAGAAATGGCACCTGCTGGGTTGTTAAGTATGCACAACCATTTAGGAGAAACAGCTCTTTTCAGTGCAGCCCGCTATGGCCAAGTTGGGATGTTCGCGTTTCTTGATACGAATATCGAAAGTGAAGAGGCGCGCAAGACATTTTATCAGAAGCACAACGATGCCACTGTGCTTCACACGGCCGTTATCTCAGGGCATTTCGCCATTTTGGTGAGTTCCCCAAGCAACTGAACATTTCATCGTCTTAATTAGAAGAACCGGATCATCTCTTGCGTAGGGGGTCCTGTGTCCTCATCCTGCATGCATTAGTAATGCAACACACTATATCACAGAGCTAACTAGTCGATTATTTCATCGTCTTAAACCTTAATTAACTTAGTTGTCGCACTAATAATGTAAAGATATATGACAAACACAGGATGAAAAAGACGCGCGCGCGAGGATTGGGGTTCATTAATTAATTCATCAATCCCCTAGCATTTTTAGATTCCATTTTCAGTAAGCTAGTCGCGTTTTGGGTTTTGGTGTGCTGTGGAAGATGGGATTTTTGAAGCGATTTTTCTACCACTGTGAGATACATTTTCAGTGAAAAATAATACAACACTATTTGCTTTAGCTTTTTCTTACACACATATATAGATTCAAAGTACCCTATTAACTTGAATCAGAGTTGATACCCTAACTACAAGACACCTAAAAACTTTAGCTAATATATATGTATTTATGTGAGAGATCTTTACTAGCATGATGTGGCTCTAAGGTTAGAAAAGATCAGTCGGTTAACCTGATGTCAACCCAAGCTCAACCCATTTTTTTTCCCGAGTTTGGACAACAATTTTTACAATTAGGGTTCAGTCTATATTGAAATATCTCAACCCAAACTTAATTAGGAATGAGCTTGGATTGAACTGCCAGCAACCTCACCCAACTAGAATCCGAATTTTATTTTTATTTTTTTCATATATTTTTAATTTAAAATATAATATATATAATATTCAAATTCTAATCACCATTATCTTTTCAATTCTCTTTTTAAAATTTTGATTTATTATATCTTAACAATTTGAAGAGTTAATTCCTTAAGAATCTGTTTACAATTTTTTAGAAATTTACATTATGTTTTTTAATATATATATATATATATATAGGAGTAATCTAATATGAAACTAACTTAAGATCACCTTAAATTTTTAGTGTGGAGACCTGTCATATAGAATCTCAGCTCTAGTTATAAACCCATATTTACAAAGTTAAGCGTGTTGGGCTCATATTGATTAATTAGAGTTAAAAGGTCGGATTAGAATTAAATATTTCATATGTTGGATTGGATCGAATTAAATCTCCAATCTCCAACTTGCCTAAGTTGCAACCCTAAGTCTATTATACTTCATATCTTTTTTACATTTTAGTTGCTTTTTGTAACAAAAAGACATAACTAACCTTAAAATATAAATCTCACAACTATTATATATCATGCATGAGTAGACATCACCTCACGAAGGTGATTGATCCAAGCACTGAAGAGCATTTTGGTCCGTCTTTGAGGGATAATTTTGTCATTTATTAATAAAAAAATTCAAATGGAGCGCAGAAGGAGAATTTTGTCATAATTTGTAACTCAAAAACAGTTTTCAATAATTCGAAGAACAAAAAATAATAAATGACAGTTCTCTGAAAATAGGCTTACTTGGTTTATAACTCTTAAAACAGTTCTCAAGAATTCAGAGAACAGAAAACAATTCTCTAAAAACAGGCCTTTTTATAACTGAGTTTTCATAAAACATTTTTCAGAAAACTGAACTAAGCAAAGTTTTTTGCACAGCTTTCTATTTTCAGTTTTTAGTTTTCTGAAAACAAAAAACTGTTCTTAGAGTAACAAACTAAGTAGGCCAACCAAGCAAAGTTTTTTATACAGTTTTTTGTTTTCAGTTTTCTGAAAACAGAAAACTGTTATCAAATTTACAAACCAAGCATTCCCTTAAGAATTGTGAACATTGTACCTAGGGATGGCAACGGGGGCGGGTTTGGGTGGGTGTAACCCCCCCTGTTTAAAAATCCCGCCCCTGTCCCCACCCAAAACCACAAAAACGGGGGTACTTTCTACCCCATCCCCGTAACCGTTTAATATTTTTACCCCCGCGGGTACCCAACTCGTCCCGTTTAAGACTATAATTTATTTATTGTTGAAATAGATTTGCTCTTTTTTTTTCCCCCCTCATTTTCAATTATTCACCATTACAAATTTCTTTTTAATCAAATTCATTTTTTACTTTCATTTTTTTTTTCTTAAATATTTTTTACTTTAATAGTGTTACATAGGGTACTAAATATATAGTGAGAAATATATATACTAATGAAATATGGGTACTTAAGTAATTTGCCTATCTAAACAGGGCGGGACGGTGCGGGGCGACCTCCCCCCGTCCCCGCACCAAACCCGTGCGGGTTTTTATTACATCAAACTATCTCCGTCCAGATAAATAAAACGGTCCCCCAAAACCGTCAAAAACGGTGCGGAGTGGGACGGGTAACTGCGGGGGCGGGTCAAATTGCCATCCCTAATTGTACCCCTTGCTTTATATGCATATAGTTACATTTCTTATATATATGCTCCAACATAGAATGATCAGCATAAATAAATAAATTTGGTGCTTACCAAGGGCCTTGTGATATCTCTTCTACCTTCCAAAGTGGATGGTGAGGGTTCGAGTCCCCAAATGAGCAAAGTGGGTGTGTGAGTGATGTGTGTGTTTCTTGCCGATGAAAAAAAATATTTAATACTACTCACTCATGCTCTGAGAAGAAAATTCCTTTCCTTCAAACTAGTAGAACGAGGGTTGAAGGTAAAATAAAATAAAAATGTATATCAATACAACACCATATAGAGTCCCATTACTGTTACTTTTCATGTATTACTGACTTTGATTTGTTGGAAATCAAGATGCACAGGTTTGTAGAGTGCCATTGTGGGAAGCAATTAGGAAAGAAATGGTGAAATATGAATCAGCTAAGAAACTTGCCAAGCTTCTTAGTAGCAAAAGACAATACATCATGGAAGCAAACTTATCATCCTCTACAAGCTACGCCCAGTGAGACCCAAAACAATGGAGGGCCATCAATACCATCATCATCATCAGCTTCCAATATTTCTGTAAAGAAAAGCAATAATATAGAAACACCATTATTTTTGGCAATTAAAGTCGGGTGTGTAGATATTCTTTTGTCACAAAGTATACTACCAGTTTGCCTCCATTTTGTCCACCCGGCTCTAATTCTTCTCACTACATAACCATCCATCTCCCCATTTTTTTTGTAGTATTGATCTTAGGTAACGAAGGTAATTATTTTGAGTAACTCTTTGATCCTCAATTATAATATTTATATGGTCATCCTTGGTTAGTTTATCAAATTTACATTTCATATATTATGTTTTAGTTTTACTAATTTTTAAGTCTTCTGCTTCTAAATTCTTTCTCCATGTTCCTAATTTTGTTGCTAAGGCTTCCTTAAAAGTATCTACTAAAACTATGTCACCTACAAATAACATACACCAAGAAATGTTTACTTCTACATTTTTCGTTATTTCGTCTAACGCTATCGCAAATAGGTATGGGCTTAACATCAATCCTTGGTGTAATCCCACTTTATTGCTAGTCTCTCCGCATGTAGTATGAACTCTAGTCAATGTCTCATAATATATATATATATATATCCTGAAATAAGAGTTACAAGCTTTACAGCTGCTTGTTTTCTTTGTAGAACCCACCAAATTATGTTCCTTGGCACTGTATAGTATGTGTTTTCTAAATTTATAAAAAGCATACATAAGTCTTTTTTGTTTACTTCTATATTCTACTATTAGATGTCTTACTAAGTATGACTTCCATAGTAGATCTACCTAGCATAAATATGAATTGATTATCATGTATTTTTTTTTAAAATTTTTTTCCTTAATTGTTGCTCAATTATCCTTCCCATAATTTTATTGTATGACTCATTAATTTAATTTCTCTATAATTCCCACAATTTTGTATCACTTTTATTTTTATAAATTGGTACTATTATGTTTTTGATCAATAGATTTATATATAGTGCTGGTGTGGGTGGAACTGTGGATGCAGGAGGTAAAGGAAATTTGCTCATCGTGTTCAGAGGATTTAAGTTTGCATCGCAACTGTGAAGGGGAGACTGCTAAAGAAGTATTTGTTAAGAACAAGGAACACCTTCACACGGAAGCTGTAAAACAGGTGAGGTTCAGAATAGAAACCGTTGCTTGGCTAGGTTTGTTTTCCCCAGCCCTCATATCATGGTTTCGCTTCAAAGACTTCAAGCTCACCGTTCCAGTAAGCATAGCAGCAGGTACTACATTTATATTGCTCGCAGTGTCAATGCTGGTATTGGCATTCGCCACCACCATCGTCCTTATAGTACAAGAGAGAGAGCATCACTGGCTAAGAATTGGCTTTTTCGCCATCGAATTCCTCCCATTTACCATCTTGTCTCTCCTCTTCATGCCGCCTTACTTATTTATTGCACGAATGCTCTTCATGTCCAACATCTACATAACAGGAGTTACAGGCCCTGGATATAGCGGCTTGTCCTTTCGATCTTGCATCGCGGATTTATTCTGCTACCATAAATTTATAATGCCACCTCCCTCTAACCCAACTCCAGTTGAAGAAACTACCCCATATGTTGTTTAAAAGGCCAATTGAAACACCTTCCTTTCATGCAAGATGAGATGATCCGACCTTTCTACATTTCCTTTCTATATTGCTGAATGATTCCAAGTTTTGTTGCAATGTCAATTGATTCCTCATATGGTTTTAAAATTTTCATTATGTACTTTTTTATTATGACGAATATACAGTTTGCATACCATTATTCGCACTGGTGCAAATTTAAATCACGAGAGATTAAATTTATTTCCAATCCATCCCTCCTAACACCCTTGTTTAATGGGACCACTATGAAGAATTACTCTTTATAGACGGCAGGAGATGACCATGTTCGAAAGTCCATGGTAACCAAGTAAACAGCCAGTTGGATGAACCATATATACATATTTTACGGTTTTACACTTGTGAAACAATATAATCCTATCAGTTTCACAATTTTAGGAACTAGAATCAAACTGTTGGCCTCAACATAAATCATTCTTCACAAGAGTAAGGAAGTAAGGCTTTGCTGAGTTGACTAATAGTTCTATACTTCAACTTTAAACTAATCACTAGCATGGCAATTCATTCTTCATCAAGTTCATGAACTGGATAAACTTGAAAAAAAAAGAAAAAAAAAATGGTGCTTTGCATATATCTGGTTAAGATATATGCAAATAAATAAAGATGGTGATTGGTCACATGTCAATCTCATTCGAAACACACACAGAAAAAATCAATAGAATTTTTGGTGTTCGATGAGGATTCATCAAACTCAGCACATACCTGTTTAAGCTTGCCTTTTGAAAAGCAGGCTTGGTGGAAGAATTTGAACGATGCTTTCAGTAGCGTCCACTAATGGGTGTCAAAATCCAAGTACATTCTATAGGCATTTCGGTCAGAAGAGTAGTAACCTTCTATGAGGCTGTCAATTTGGAAACCAAGTTTCTTGTAGAGATTCACGGCTGGAACTCTCAAGGGATCGACATGGAGTGATATGCGGTGGACATTTCTAGCTCTGTTTTTCTGAATTGCTGTTTTCAGCAGTGCCTCTCCATGGCCTAGCCTCCTACAGTTCTCCTTCACTATTTTTGTTTACCATTAAAGAAGAAGTATGTGAACATACTATTAGAATTAAATTTAAAATAAAAATCCAATTCTAGATAATTTAACCAATTTGCCATTTTCACAATAGACAAATCAATCAAGCATCCAAAGAAAAGAAAAATAGAACCCACAAAGGATGCATTTGTGCAATCTAATCAAGTGAGGACTCCTTTTTCATCTATCTTCTTATGGCATTTTCTCCCACTATTTGGAACATTTTATGACCCTCCTTGAAAGAGAGGCCTGATAGTAAGAGGGCAAACTATCCCGACCTCCCTGGAGATTTTCTCAAATTACCCTTAGATTAAACTCATAAAGGAAAAAAAAAAAAAAAAAAAATTGGTCAACCTCCCTTGAGGTTTGTTTGATTGAAATAACTCTGACCTCTCCTGTCGGTAGTTGATTGTTAGGCCAATTAAAAGTCAGCTAAATAACTACGTGAAATGCTAAAACTACCCTCCTTTGCATCAAAATGACTAAACGGACCGTACGACCTATCTCAAATTACCACTTTAACCTTAAATAAATGCCCAAAATACCCTTAAAGCCAACACTTTAAGCTCAATTGAAAATCTCATCTATATCACTCGAACCTGAAGGTGTTTACTCTCTCGTTCCTCTCTCTCTCTCTCAGCCTTTAGAGACACGCGGAACCTAAGAATCATATTGGTGTTTCAATCAATTTAAGGGACAAAAATCAAAATCGAAATATAATAGAAGTCATAGTAGTAAGATACTAAGATAATGAAGAATGCGGAGGGATAAAAATATATGTGTTCGAGCGTGTATGTTGCACTATGACAACGAGAGATGGTGTATGATAGAAGTGCCTGAAGATATGAACAAAAGAAGTGCAGAACCGTCTTTATGAGCGGTTTTGTGTTTGGAAAAATGGTTTTTGGCTTTTAAAATTGGGAAATTGATTAGAGTGGAAGGGATTAAATACACATTGGAGATTAAATTAAACACACACTCTCCCTCCCTCCCTCCCTCTTTACAACAAATCCATAGAGATCATACAGCACCAGCATCGACTCCTCCATGGCCGTCATCAACACCAATATTTGACCCCATCTCGACGGTGATGGGTTTTGATGTCAAATTTAGGGCACAAAATATTATTTTCCAAAAAACAAATTCAGGGCACATAATTGGGTTGAATTAAATTGCAGTTTCGAATTGTTGAATTTGATTCAATAAACTGCTACACCTTCCAAGCTAAAACTCCCTCTAGCAAGAGTTAGGAACTATACTGATAGATACCCATTGTGGCTTACTGAGTGGAAGTTCCTAATTGTAATCTCTCTGCTTTAATTGAATAAGATCTTTTGGAGCTTTTTCAGGGGGGAAAAAAAAGAAAAAAAAAAAAAAGAAAGCAAAATCACATAAAAGAAAACATTTTAAGAGACACCAAATTATAACAGTGTCCTATACTTTTCCCAAATGGGTATTTCTGCAGATTCACCAAATCTATCCCATATCCACAAGTATAACCTAATAATCCAAAAAAGCTAGCATTCTAATTAAGAACGCAATACAAAACATAATTATTGCAAATTAGATACTTTCAACAATGGCTAATCAATTTTATGTCCACAAAAAAAACCTATATCGATAGCTATATGTCTTAATACGCATACATTAACAAGGATTAAACTGTAGAGAGAGAATAATTTTTGAACCTGCAAGTTTTGTAATGGAGGCGCACAGTGAAGAAGGCCATGAATACATGACATAGCCTGCAATTTCTCCGTCGACGACAGAGTAAAGCAATCCACAGTTTTTCTTCTTGAGTTCGTCGTCGAAGGATCTAGAAAGCGATTCGTGTTTTGGGAAGATCTTCTTCTCCAGTCTCACTATCTCTTCGATTACTTTAGCCCACTTGATCGATTTTCTCTGCAGCTCTTCTACCACCAAACTCTCCATTTGTTGGTGTGTTTTGATACACCCCTCCGGTCTTCTTGCATCGTGTTTGGGAGTTCTGGGTAGAAAAGTGGTAAAAAAATACTATTGTAGTAATTACTAGAAAACAAGGGTAGTGCAACAAATTTCCACAAAATTGGACCCTTTTTTTTTCATAATTATATAATATGATTATATAAATAAAAATTGAATTTTTGTGATTTTATTAATGCTTTTTTAATCCGCAACAAAATATATACACAACCATTTGTTCCTACAGGGACTTGAACTTTTAATTCAACTTGAAAAGTGGAGGAATCACTAATTATGGGAGCCAGATCATTTGATTCAACTTCAGAAGGCGAGGAATCACTAATTATGGGAGCTAGATGTATATTATTTTTGTAAAAAAAAAAAAAACTGTGAGAGTTTTTGGCACCTATTATACAGAATGAGGGTGTTTCTTGCCCTTAACCCTTGTAATAATGAAATTTATATTTCAAATCTCCGCCAAATAGAATAACTATTTGTAGTTCATTAACTTGCTATTGTTGTCCTCCTTTTGCTTCATTATCTTCCTTCTCACTTACTCTTCAGGCATACTGTTTGTTCCATCTCTTTTCTCATCTTTCTTGAACCGTCATATAGGCACTCTACAATCCTTCTAATCTTTTCGTGTTATATAGTTGCCGAAAGTAAATCATGCCAAGAGTACAGAATAATTGGACCACACTTGATTTTGTTGCACACATTGAAGTAGTCCTTTTTTTTTTTTCTTTTTTTTCTTTTTTTTTGTGTGGAAGTTAAAGCAATTACACACACACTATCTCCACCGAAGCTCAAACCCCCGACCTCCCATTTGGGAGGGAAGGGGTGATACCGCTGGCCCAATTGGTCCTTTGATTGAAGTAGTCTTTTTTATTTCTCAAAAATACTTACAAACACAATGATTTGGGCCTTTGGAGGTCCCCCGAGTTAGTTTTGCCCATTATGACTCCTCGCCCGCACGCTGAAGCACCCCCGCGTGCACGTGGACATTGTATGCTAAAAAATGAAGTTTGAAGTTTGGGTTTGGAAATTTTATGAGAACTTCCTAGAAGCCTAAGAAGTGCTTTGTTCGAGACGGATTTCGATTTGAAGGTCCCCCGTGTTAATTTTGCCCATTACGGCTCGTCCGTCACCACCAGGAGTGGAGCCTGCGGCTTAATTTGACTCAACACAGAGAAACTTACCAGGTCCAGACATAGTAAGGATTGACAGACTGAGAGCTCTTTCTTGATTCTATGGGTGGTGGTGCATGGCCGTTCTTAGTTGGTGGAGCACCCACTCCAGCACATGGTATGATATTGTCCGCTTTGGGCCTGAGCCCGCACGGTTTTGCTCTTGGGCTTCACCCCAAAAGGCCTCATACCAATTGGAGGTGACACACTTACATATAAGTACTTCACCTTTCCTCTACCCAGGCGATGTGGGACTGTGCACCCGTAGCTCGCCAGTGTGGTAGCCTGACAGTGTCTCTCGCACCCGCCCACGGCACACCCGCCCACAAGGTCATCACAATCCACCCCCCTTAGAGGCCCGACGTCCTCGTCGGCACACTTCCGGCTGGGTCAGGCTCTGATACCATTTGTAACGACCCACTCCACCACATGGTATGATATTGTCCGCTTTGGGCCTGAGCCCTCACGGTTTTGCTCTTGGGCTTCAACCCAAAAGGCCTCATACCAATTGGAGATGACACACTTACATATAAGCACTTCACCTTTCCTCTACCCAGGCGATGTGGGACTGTGCACCCGTAACTCGCCAGTGTGGTAGCCTGACAGTGTCTCTCGCACCCGCCCACGGCACACCCGCCCACAAGGTCATCACATTTGTAACGACCCACTCCACCACATGGTATGATATTGTTCGCTTTGGGCCTGAGCCCTCACGGTTTTGCTCTTGGGCTTCACCCCAAAAGGCCTCATACCAATTGGAGATGACACACTTACATATAAGCACTTCACCTTTCCTCTACCCAGGCGATGTGGGACTGTGCACCCGTAGCTCGCCAGTGTGGTAGCCTGACAGTGTCTCTCGCACCCGCCCACAGCACACCCGCCCACAAGGTCATCACAATCCTCCCCCCTTGGAGGCCCGACGTCCCCGTCGGCACACTTCCGGCTGGGTCAGGCTCTGATACCATTTGTAACGACCCACTCCACCACATGGTATGATATTGTCCGCTTTGGACCTGAGCCCGCACGGTTTTGCTCTTGGGCTTCACCCCAAAAGGCCTCATACCAATTGGAGGTGACACACTTACATATAAACACTTCACCTTTCCTCTACCCAGGCGATGTGGGACTGTGCACCGCACTCGTAGCTCGCCAGTGTGGTAGCCTGACAGTGTCTCTCGCACCCGCCCACGGCACACCCGCCCATAGGGTCATCACAATAGATTGTGATGACCTTGTGGGCGGGTGCGAGAGACACTGTCAGGCTACCACACTGGCGAGCTACGGGTGCACAGTCCCACATCGCCTGGGTAGAGGAAAGGTGAAGTACTTATATGTAAGTGTGTCACCTCCAATTGGTATGAGGCCTTTTGGGGTGAAGCCCAAGAGCAAAACCGTGCGGGCTCAGGCCCAAAGCGGACAATATCATTCCATGTGCTGGAGTGGGTCGTTACAAATGGTATCAGAGCCTGACCCAGCCGGAAGTGTGCCGACGAGGACGTCGGGCCTCTAAGGGGGGTGGATTGTGATGACCTTGTGGGCGGGTGTGCCGTGGGCGGGTGCGAGAGACACTGTCAGGCTACCACACTGGCGAGCTACGGGTGCACAGTCCCACATCGCCTGGGTAGAGGAAAGGTGAAGTACTTATATGTAAGTGTGTCACCTCCAATTAGTATGAGGCCTTTTGGGGTGAAGCTCAAGAGCAAAACCGTGCGGGCTCAGGCCCAAAGCGGACAATATCATACCATGTGGTGGAGTGGGTCGTTACATCATTCGAAAATGAGACTTCAAGAACTTACTTTCCAAATCTCTATCAACACCGTTATACTTCTGATGCGTGTGTTGTGGGGCCAATACACATACTATAAGAAAAGAAAAAAAAAAAAAAAACATTATAACCACTTTTTGCTTAGAAGCTTCCAAAACTTGCATACAATCAAAATGGGAAAGATTTTAAAACTCCAATATTTTTAGAATTGTGTTTTTCTGGCCGAATTGGATCCGCTAGAGCAGAAGAGAGACAAATAGGTTGAGAGAGCCATCAATCATGGTGGGCCCCAGCTCTAGCGGATTCAGCCGGAGAAATATTTTTCATAGGACAATATTTAGGTCCTTACCGGATTGCTGATGTGGATCAGTAATATATGGACATGCATGTTCTATTTAATTATCAAATCAGAAATGGTGGGGGTACTTACTCACTTATTAAATTAGAGATGATTGATTAATTACCATTTTTTATTTGATAATTAAAATAATATGTCATATTGGTCCACATAAAGGGTTAGGATGGTGTACATTTTCACTAGTAAGGACCTTAGTGTTGTCATTTTTCATATTTTGTAAGAAATTAATTTAAAGACTGATTAGTTTAGCTTATTTGTCAAAGTGAATTGATTAGTGGTATCGGACAAATTGACCAAACTTGGTTATTGGACAATTCTACCTAAATATCATAATTTTATTTTTAATGTAAATTTGTCCTATAATTTATATAATACTTGAAAATACTTGCATAGTGGACAGTTCCTTGGTAGTTTCATTAACTAACTGCATGTACACAGTAACACAGACAGTCATGATCAAAGGTTCAATTAAAGCCGTATGTGAAATTGTGAATGAATGGAACAAATTAACTAGCTAGCTACCAAGTGTCGTAATCAAATTCCTTATTCTTTTGTTTGTGGGTGAAAGAAGACATACCAGCGTAATCTAGGATTGATTCGAAAGAAAACTTTACTTACCAATTAAGAAAAGAATAATTTTTACTTTTTAATTGGATACCGACACTCCAAAGCGAACTAATCACAGTAAGTCTGTCGAGTGCACCTTGATCGATGAGGCTCATCATAAGTCATAACACAATTGATTGAGTGTAAACACATACATATACATTAAACTAATCACTAGCATGGCACTTCATTCTTCATCAAGTTCAAGTTAGTCCCAGCAGCTAGGAGACTTCTAGAAGAAAAGGCATCTTGGTTCCTAAGTATGCACTACAAGTTTGGAGAAACAGCTCTTTTCAGTGCAGCCCGCTATGGCCAAATTGAGATGTTCGCATTTCTTCATATCAAAGTGCAGCAGCAGCTGGGTGATCAAAATATTCAAATTAGTGAAGCAGCAGAGCGCAAGAAATTTTATCATAAGCACAACAATACCACCGTGCTTCACATGGCTGTTATCTTAGGACATTTCGGTCAGTACATTCTCCTAGCTAGATAGTGCTTTTGTTTGTGTTGATAATTGGAATTTGGGTTTGTGTGTGATGTCTTTCTGCATAATTTGGTAGATTTGCCTTACACACACACACACATATTGGCTTTGTAAAGAAGCAACTTCTTCATTTTTTAATTTTCTTCTTTTTCATGACTATTAAAACAAGGGAAAATTATGTATAAGTGGTCTTAGCATAGTTATATTACCATTACATGAACGTAGTTTGTGTATTTACGAGAGCATGAACTAAAAGTCAAGGCACTTTATTTGACCCCTTTAGTAAGTTTAAATTATATTTTCATCCCTAAAAGTTTACTTTATGCACGATTTGCCCAAAGAACAACTTGTTCAAGTCTTAGAATTTTGTCAAACAGCACTTAGGAACTGCTATATAGCACTAGAATTGGGAGACACAACGCGTGGTCTACAAAGAAGAATCGAATAACTTAGATCTAGAATTATATTAATACAAAATATTTTAGAAACTAGACGGCATAGATTTTAGTTTATGAATAGACTCGACTTTAATAATTTAGATACTTTTATAAAACGACTCGGAGAAAATCTTGATTATATTAAAGAACAAGTAGTGCAGAATTCTAGTCCAAATAATTTAGATAACAAGATAATATTAGTTACAATTAAAGATATCAATAGTGATAT